TGCTTTCCACAACCAATCAGACAGATTGGAGGCCAAAGTCTTCGTTTGCGTAGGAGTGTAACTTTGTAACTTCACTTTAGCCTCTGATTGCAGAGTGTGACTTTGTAACTTCACTTTAGCCTCTGATTGCGGAGTGTGACTTTGTAACTTCACTTTAGCCTCTGATTGCGGAGTGTGACTTTGTAACTTCACTTTAGCCTCTGATTGCGGAGTGTGACTTTGTAACTTCACTTTAGCCTCTGATTGCGGAGTGTGACTTTGTAACTTCACTTTAGCTTCTGATTGCTGGCCACTACTTCAACTGCATGGGGTGCACACCAAGTGGCCAATGGGAAGCTTCCTGGGCATATTTGGAACCCAGAAGATTCTGTAACCAGGCCTTTGAGCTGCTGCTCAGTCCCCCTCCGATCCTGTGGAGTGTACGTCCATTGTCCATAAGTCTGTTTTTGTTGCTTCATTTTTTCCTTGCTTTTCTGTGTGTTTTGTCCAATTCTTTGTTGAAAATGTCAAGAACTCGGACAACCTGCAGCCAAGACCCTCCATCGGTAACAATATTATTCAATAAGATGATTCTAATGAATTTGTTACTTTATGTAGTCATGAAGATGAACTCACAGGCCTTAAAAATATTTGATGAATGATGCTAACTGAATCATGAAAACCCATATTTAACTTCTCTTTAATACTTGACCAGAGAAAGTGATATTCAGTTGGTGATTATAATAATAAGGAAACTCCTCTTACTAATGCAATCATCAATAAATCTATTCTTAAGGTCTTACTATGTGCTTAACCCTGTTCTATAGAAATAAAGTTAATATCCCTAGTATATGTCCTATGAATAACCCAATTTTACAGATGAGGACATGGATAGAAAATCAAGTGTGTTGTCAAAATTCCACATTGAGAAAATGGCATGGAAATGAAGAATAATGTGATCAGGCTAGTCTAACATCTTGCTTAAGTTATCAATAGACACTCCTCATGGATTTTGAGTACTCAAATGTTTAGGATTTATTGTAAAAGCACTCATCCATAAAACAAGATGGATAATATATTTATGATAGGAGGCAATCCAGAAGAAAATCAATTCTCAGATTTATTATATATATATATCAGTCATTATTATACTAAATTTCCTCAGCATAACTGAGTATAGATGTTGGAACCAGAGGAGGTGATAGAGTCACAGCTCCTCCTCTTATTAGCTTCAGGACATTGATCATTTGAATCAGTTATTCCTCCATCAAATAGATATAATGAAAACATGCACATCACAGTCTTGTGAGAATTAAAGAAGAAATGCAATTAGAATCATCTTTGTAAGATGTATAGTGCCTATTTTACAAATTATTATGGATACAAAAATATTATACATATTATTCTATGTAATAGAAAATAGTCTACCAATAAATATGTGGTTTTATTCATGCATACATCAGTTTTTATTTTATTATTTAATATAACATTGTTTGTTTTTATAAAATCAGATCATAGAACCTGAAAGGAAAAACAATTATTTCAGTCTTACTGTTAGTTATTGAAGGCCAGTTAATTAGCACTACTTGAATGCATCCTGTAATCGTTTTTTTCAAGTTTTATTACAAACCACTTTTGTTGCTTTTTAAATTTCAGAGACTACTTTTATAAGTTTCAGTAGGAGTTTTAAATACAATGTGATCAATATAAATGCATACTTTCTGAACAACTAGAACATTTGTTAAGTATCAGTTTTTTACCCAGTGAAATAATACTATCAAGGCCATAAATGGAAAGCTTGGTGTCTTTTAGTAACCAGATGCTATAACTGAGAAGATTTGGTTGGAATCCTTGCTAGTAGCTGGTGTTACTCCTTGTACGTAATCCTCAGTTTTTATTTTTTACATGATTTTTATAAGCATGAGGTTGGCCATCTATGACATGTTCATTGAAAGCAGATTAATTCTTATTAGCCCTTCACTGACAGTTCAATTAACAGCACAAATGTATACTATATAGAAGGAATACTTAACATCACCCAGCCACAGATAAAATACTTGCTTTTGCACAAAAGTTCTAAATTGTCACATTCAAGAAATAGACTGAGAAGATGAAGTAAAGGAGGAAAGAAAAGTGATTTTTCCCCCCATGTACTTGGTTATCTGGATGTGTCTGCTTTCCTTATATTTCTATTTATTCCTGTAAGTTTGGACCCAATGACTCTCTTATAACCAATATATCTTGCTAATAAATTTGACAATAACAACTTTGTGAAAGATAAGTAAGAGAGAGCACAAATTTAAAAAAATTAAAAATATGTCCTTTGAAAGAGTAAAGATTTATCCACTTATCTGTAGATAAAGGACTGATGGTAGCTACTGCTTAGAGTGAAGAATGGGACATAGATTGAGAGAGAACTCTAAAGTTGTGTTCTAGCCTCTTTCTCACATTGCCTTGGGATGATCATTTCCTACCCCCAAATCCCAAATAACTTGCACTGTTGCTTATCTTGATCAAGAGAAACTAACTATAAGTAGATGATAGGTATCTACTTAATTTAGATCATTGAACAGGAAAAAAAGATGAGCCAATTTTCACTTATATATAAGGGAATAATAAAATTTCACAGAAATTTTGCAAACCCATTTTGAAAACATTTCTGGAAGAAGATTCAAATTAACAAAAATGAATTCAGGAGGCCTATACCAAGATATATGAAAGCAAAAATCATGACATAACTTATGAAAGTTTATTGTTGTTTAAAAAATCAAGGGCAAAATGAAGGAAAAACAATATAACCATGAAAACATTTAGTCTTTAGGTAGTATGAACCCTTAGGTTAGCGTAAGAGAGTAGGAATAAAGAAATAAAAGGTTAAACTAAAGTACCAGTTGAATTAGGGGAGAACATAGTACTGATAAATCTAAGAAGGTAGTGTAATAAATGGGAGTATGGATCTTAAATAAACAGTAATTAACATAAAAATAAACACAAAAAGTATAAATTTTACATTAGCAGAAAAAGTAATGTAAGTAAACGAAGTAAAGGGGAAAAGAACATTTTAAAAAAAGTAGAAGAGATCAAATTTATGAAATAAGATGACAAAGAGTTTCTAATATATTCAGGAACTACAGTTAATATAAAGTTCACGTTAGCCATTAACAAATAAAAAATATAGCAAGAAGATGTAACCCTCCAGACCATATATAAACCCAATATATACCATCAAATAGACAACAGTCAGAAAAGAAATAAATACCAAATAATAGACTGTGGATGTTCCAGAACCTTCCTCTAAGGAAGTAATTAAGTAGAAAAACAGAGTAAAAGAAAATGTGAATAATAGAAGTAAAAAATTAACCTGATAAAAAGTTTACACCTATGAAAACAACTTTAAAACAATGCAAATGAAATCTATTCTGAATAAATGAAAATGTATTCCATGTTCTTAGGTGGAGCAACTCATTATAAACCTTTCAGTGTTTCCCAAATTAATCTATAAATTTAGTACAACTGTGGAAATAAATAAAGACCAACCAATAAAAACAAGAAAAGACCATTGACTCAGAGCTTGCCCCACTTAGGGAGTCAGCTACCATCACTTTTGTTTTGGTAGAGACTGAAGGACAGCAGAGGAGTGGGAAAACTATATCGTGGAAAAAACGGAAGGCTTCAGGTGTGCCCTGATTGAAGGGCTGTTGGTATGGGGAAGCTATATGCAGCCAACTAAAAGGAAGGCTTCCTATGTGTTAGGGGGTGCATATTTGGCTTTTCTTGGTTGGTTCTATGCTGGAAGTAGGAACAACAATAGGAAAGCTGTCAGTTATTAATCAAATTCTTGCTGTTTAGGGCCTATTGTCACAGGGGTTACTGTTTGCCCTCCTAGATTGTTTACTAGAGAAAGGGGTCTGACTTCCCACAAGTCTCATTATAGCAGGTTGGATTCTGGGCTGATTATTGCAGATAATGGGTTGATTTCTTAAGTTGGTTGCTGCAGATTGTGGGAAGATCAGAGTTCTGTTTTTATATATGGCCCTAACATTATTTATTTCTTTAATCAGTCACAGTGAAAATAACTATGGGAGATTTTAACAAATGTATTCAAAATTTTATATTAAATAATTAAAGACCACAGAAAAATCAAATAATTTCGAAAATGATCAGAAAGCAAGGACTTGTGATAAATGCATACTCAAAGTCATATTAATAAAACTATTGTTAATAACACAATAGAACTTAAATAAACATGAAATTCAATAAGTATTTCAGAAAAATTCCATGTTTGGGAAATTAATCCTCCATGATACAAATGGCACCCAAAAAAATTGGTAAAGGACAAACTGTTCAGGAGATTTCATTGAGAAAACGCTTTCATTAAGGAGCAAATAAAACGAAACCCTTACCTATGAGCATAGAATTGTCAAGATAAATCTATAGATCTAATAGAAAACAACAAGGGAAATACCTTTTAAAATAAAACTGCGATGTACGGGTGCGGCGGCTCATGCCTAAAATTCCCGTACTTTGGGAGGCTGAGCCAGGATCACAAAGTCAGGAGATTGAGACCATCCTGGCTAGCACAGTGAACCCTGTCTCTACTAAAAATACAAAAACTTAGCCAGGCCTGGTGGTGGAAGCCTGTAGTCCCAGCTACTTGGGAGGCTGAGGCAGGAGAATGGCGTGATCCCGGGAGGCAGAGCTTGACGTGAGCCGAGATCACGCCACTGCACTCCAACCTGGGCGACAGAGTGAGACTCTGCTCAAAAATAAATAGATAAATAAATAAAACTGCAAAGGCACAAATATAAAGAAAATAAATACACGAAAACATAAATTAGTAAAAAAATCATCTTTTCTTCATCGAAAAAGAGCAAATATAATAAATACATGTGAGATTAAGAGAAGATACTAGCATTTTCTAATTTATATAGTCCATAATTGATGAAAATTGCAATTTACCAGATTATCACAAAAAGAATGACAAGAATCCAAATAGCAAAATAAGGCAGGAACACCAAGAAGGAATTTATAGATGGGAAAAGTCAAAGGGCAAGTGCTATAGTTTGAAGGTGTCCCCTGAAATGTTTATTTTGAAAATTAATCACCAACATGACATTATTAAGAAGTGAGGTTTTTAGGAGGTCATTAAGTTACAGGGACAGGATTCTCGTTAACGGGATTAGTGCCCTTCTGAAAAAGGATGAAAGGAGCTGACTTGTCCTTTCACCATTTAAGGACACAGCAAGATTCCATCCTGGAAGCACACACAGCAAGACTTCATCAGACACTGGATCTGCTGGCAACTTCAACTTGGAATTCCCACCCTCCAGAAACTGAAGGCTGACAACATGAGTAGGAAATATCCGAGCCTAGGAAACAGAAAGCTAGAGAGTTATTAGCATACTTATAAAACTGAAGATATTCAATATGAGGGATTATTTGTATGGAAACAAAATGAAACACAAACACAAAACTAAGAAAGAGCCACAGATCACCTTATCTGATTTTTTTTTTTTTTTTTTTTTTTTTTTGAGACAGAGTCTCGCTCTGTCACCCGGGCCGGATTGCAGTGGCCGGATCTCAGCTCACTGCAAGCTCCGCCTCCCGGGTTCACGCCATTCTCCTGCCTCAGCCTCCCGAGTAGCTGGGACTATAGGCGCCCGCCACCTCGCCCGGCTAGTTTTTTGTATTTTTTTAGTAGAGACGGGGTTTCACCGTGTTAGCCAGGATGGTCTCGATCTCCCGACCTCGTGATCCGCCCGTCTCGGCCTCCCAAAGTGCTGGGATTACAGGCGTGAGTCACCGCGCCCGGCCCACCTTATCTGATTAACTTTAACCACTGTCCAAATTGATAACCCATGGATGGATGAGCCGGGGATTTAGGCAGTTTACATATTCCCTCTGACATCCTATTAGTCTGCGAATAGTCGTGGTCAGGCTAATAACTCACTCGCAGCCACACTGTTCATAATAGCCCACAGATATTTACAGAAGTAGATTTTAAGAAGAGGTGTTTTTTTTTTACCTTATTTTCCAAAAATTTAGGAAAAGTAATGTGCTTACTTTACAGTGATTCAGAAATGAAATATATATTTTACACAACTGCACTTATTTCATTTAAGTATTTTCTTTCAACAAATGCCTATATTGTTAATTTTTAATTTTACTAATATATATTAATTGTTTGGGTCTGACACGGTATTGGATGCAAGGAATAAGACTATGAAAAAGTTGTGGTCTCTTTCCTTGAGAAACTAACAGACATTAATGTATAAAAATTAGAACCAAAATTATAAATAGAAAACAATCAAACAGGGAAATGTCATTATCAAGTGAGGAGAATGGACTAGGCAGAATAATATCTGAAAAAAATAAAGAAGTTTCAAAAAGTCTGACTTCATCAAATGTTGAGATATTTTTCTAGCAAGGGCTACTGGTACTTGAGAGGGAGTCACAAAAAGTGGTAATTAGTGCAGTTGAGACTGGATTATAAATGGTTTTGGATGCCGGGACCATGAACTTAAACCTCATTAGAAAAAAAAAAAAAAAAAAAAGAGGGAATATCTCAGATTTTAAGCAGACAGTGATATGATTCACTTTGCATTTTTGAGCAGTAGCCCAAGCAATGAACACTTTGTAGGCTGAGAGTTAGAGTATACGATAATTATGGGAAGATGGCCCAATAAGTGCATTTTATCTCTAGAGGATATACTCGTATTATTCCCCCACTCATCCCCAAGTACTCATTAACATGTTTCTTCTAAAAATGTGCAGTTTGAAATCTATTCATGGCTTACAGACATATTTGAATCCTAAACATTTACTAAACCACCAAGCTCAAATGTGAGTTTCATTTCTCTGTTGTTTTATTATAAAATGGCTCATTTTCACTGCTACTTATTAATTTGATAATTTTGCATTAGTTTTTTAAATGCTCAATCAATAATTAGGTCCTTGTGTTTGTTGAACCAAACAATTTTACTCTGGGGATGGCAAGAAAAAAGTTAGAGAGTTGTAGCTCTCTAGTAAATGATTTTATTTCTTTCCCTCTAATTTAATCTTCCATTGCGATAAACAAAGGACTGGGTGCAGTGGCTCACGCCTGTAATCTCAGCATTTTGGGAGGCTGAAATGGGTAGATCACTTGAGTTCAGGAGTTTGATACCAGCCTGGCCAACATGGTGAAACCCTGTCTCTTCTAAAATCACAGAAAATAGCCAGGCACGCTGGTGGGCACCTTCAATCCCAGCTACTTGGGAGGTTGAGGCAGGAGAATCACTTAAACCCAAGAGGTGGAAGCTCCAATGAGCCAAGATCAAGCCACTGCACTCCAGCCTAGGCGACAGAGTGAGACTCCATCTCAAAAATAAATCAATAAAAAATTTAAAAAAGGAAAAAGAGAGAAACAGAGAAAAGAAAGGAAAGGAAAGTAGAGAAGTAGAGGAGCCTGGAGAGGAGGGGAGAGGAGAGGAGAGGAAGGTACAAAAGAAAGAGCAAAGAGATCAATGACTCAACTTTAACAAACAAATCTTAAACGTGTAAAATCTGATTATGTGTACTGAAGTAGCAAAATTGAGATATGTTGTTTCCTTAAATAGGTTGATTTTTGTCTAAAAGCCCTGGACAAATTTTCTTTGTTACAAGTAAATTTTGCCAGATATCTTAAATGTATTTTTTTCTTTTAGAAAGAATGTGTAACTTCCTTTTCCTTTTGTGCATGCCTTCACTCCATCCTCTTCATTTCAGCTCTAGCTAGCCTGTCATTAATATTAAGACCATAATTAAGATTGAGAATAATTTTGAATAAAGAAAAAAGTCATCAATAAAAACAAATAAATATATATTTTATAGGCATTTTTCCAGGAACCGCTAGTGCTGTTTGTATTGCTGTTCAATACATCAGCATTATTTGATGATAAAGACACCAAATAATATTTTGTGCCACCAAATATTGAAAATTTACTTCCATAATTATTATGTTTTTATTAATGTAAGTTTATTTTAGAAATGTTGGCAAACACAAAATATAACAACAATATGAATGATCTATTCTTCCCTTTCTGGAAACACCTTTTGTATATGACATTCCAATCTTGATTTTATATGTTTATATATCTTGCAAAGTAAAATTTTATTTCACTTACCAATAGCACATACATTTTATCATATTATCAAAACAACTGTTTTAAAGTGTCTGTTTCATGGGTACAAATTATCCTATAAAAATGGATGCTGTCAAGTGAAAAACTATAGCACTTTTGTGAACCTGGGCTCTGGAGACAGATTGCCTGAGCTTTAATCAAGACCTCACCACTATTGATATGTGAACTTGAGAAAATTCCTTAACTTCTCACAGCCTCAATTTCCACATACAATAAACAAATACAAAAACCAATTTATCTGTTTCATAGTGTTGCATAATTAGATGATTTTATATATGTAGAAGAATGGCCAAGAAACATACGAAAAATGCTCAAAATCACTAATAATCATGGAAATGCAAGACAAAACCACAATGCAATAATATGTTACTCCTGAAAGAATGGCCATAATCAAAAAATCAAAAAATCAAAAATTAATAGATATTGGCATGGATGCAGTGAACAGGGAACAGTTACACCCTGCTGGTGGGAATGTAAACTAGTACCACAACTGTGGAAAAATAGTGTGAGGATTCCTTAATGAATTAAAAGTAGAACTACCACTTGATACAGCAATTGCAAACATGTGGAACCCAAATGCCCATCAATCAACAAGTGGATAAATAAATTGTGATATATATACATGACAGAATACGATTCAGCTATAAAAAGCAATGAACTAATGGCATTCTCAGCAACCTGGGTGGAAGTGAAGACTATTATTCTAAGTGAAGTAGCTCGGGAATAAAAAACCAAACATTATATCTTCTCATCATAAGTGGGAGCTAACCTATGAGAATATAAAGCCATAAGAATGACACAATGGACTTTGTGAACTCGCGGGAAAGGGTGGGAGGGTGGTGAGGAATAAAAGACTACAAATTGGGTTCAGTGTATACTGCTCAGGTGATGGGTGCTCTAAAATCTCACAAATCACCACTAAAGAACTTACTCGTGTAACCAAATATCACCTGTTCCCCAAAAACCTATGGAAATGAAAAAAATAAAAAATATATATTTTAAGGAATTCGTTTGCTTTTCTTTTTTTGGAAAAAAAAATTGCAAAGGTATGACCAAGATGTAGGGAAAACAGAGCTATTGCAGGAATCCAGACTAAGAGTTGGAGAAATATCAACTTCTAGGCCCAAAGGGTTTGGTTAACATAAATCAGAAAAATAAAAAATAAAATAATGTTAAATAAAGCAGACTGTATTGAGAGACTAGTGACCTTTGGTTAAGGGCACAGCCAGGTTGAGGCATCCTCAAAGTGAAGGAGGCAGGTGAATCCTGTTTCACACTTCTTCCTCCCTAAGACTTCCTGCTGTCACTTAAGGCATGCAAACACACTGATGTAGTGCATACAGGTCAACTTTCTGGGTAGAAAACAAAAGGAGAAGGATGGAGAATGAGGAGAGGAGAAGATGGCAAATGGAAGATATCCTGCACAGGCACGTACAACTTTATGTTGCTCTTGACAACATTTTTACCCTGGATGTAAACTATAGTAGTAATCAAAACTAGTGATTACTGGACCTAAAGCTATTCATCCTCATGCATGAAACTAACATGAAAAACACACATTCCCAATTCATCAAGAATGGAATAGTAAATATTCTTATTACAGTACACTTTAAGCTAATTGACCTCTCTGTTAACAGGCAAATGTGTTCACTTGTAAAAGAACAAAATGTATTATATTCAGAATCCAAGGAAATGGAATTGCAGGATAGATAAGTGAGCAAGTCAGCAAGGATCAGAGCTCTAAGTCTAAAGCAGCATATAAATTGATACAGATACTAAGAATTTGGCATGAGTTTGTTCTGTTAACACCAATCAGAGAGTTGTATAGGATAATAAAATTCTGTGCAACTGATCTTTTTGAGGGAAAGTTGGAAAAGGAAACGTATCTCCTGAAACCTGTGAATCTCACATACTATATTCAGAAAGGACATATCTTGCATAGTAAGTTTCTTTCATTAAACATAGTTAACCTTATTTATTTTTAAAGTGATTTACTAAGTGTGAATCTTGTAGGGAAGAATGGGATGGTGATAATTATTAAGATGATAATAAAGCCCACCATTCATTAAGGCATATTGTCCCTGATTCTGTGATAAGTGATGTACACATGCCGTCAAATTGAGCCTTGAAATAATTTCATTAATATTTCCATTTCACAGGTAAAGAAAATGCTTGTGAGAAAAAGTAAGCCACTCATGATGATGTAGTTATCGGGAGACATAGTTGGGATTTAAGGCAACTGTTTGATTCCACAACACCAGGATCTCATCCTGTTTGCCCCTTGGTAATGTGTGTATCATATAACCACTTCAAGCTACATGTTTTCTCTCTCCATTGTTTTGTTGTATTTCCAGAGAGGATAGTGCTATTGGAAAAAAGGTATTTCCTCTAAATTCCCTGGAAGACATTTAAACTAAGTAACATCTCCAGCCTATTTATAATATTATAAAGTCATTGACAAAAAATATAGCATCTCTTGCAATGTCTTTTCCTACAGAGTGTATAGGTGCATTGAAGATTTAACTTTTTAAATTTTTATTTATTTATTTATTTGAGACAGAGTTTCACTCTGTTGGCCAGGCTAGAGGGCAGTAGCATGATCTTGGCTCACTGCAACCTCCACCTTCCAGGCTCAAGCTATTCTCATGCTTCAGCCTCCTGACTAGCTGTAACTACAGGCACCCACCACCACACCCAGCTAATTTTTTTGTATTTTCAGTAGAGATTGGGCTTCACCATGTTGCCCGGGCTGATCTTGAACTTCTGATCTCAAGTGATCTGCCCACCTCAGCCTCCCAAAGTGCTGGGATTACAGACATAAACCAACTATTTTACTTCTGATTCACTATATTACAGTTAGATTTCTTAATCTTTTAAGGAAGAATGAAATGCTTCTAATGACAATCTATGTGGAAAAATGAGTTTCCTATCAATGAGATCTCATTTGTATTCAAGGGCTACAAAATAGTTCATTGAATTTTCATTCAATAGAATATAAATCAAATCTGCCAATTATTTATTTATTTTTTTAATTTCCCCACATTTTATCCTGGTCTCTAGACTATCAATTAAACTGCCCTGCATTTTTGTCTTCACGAAGCATGATGGTTGGAATACATGAGTTAAATTATTTGTATTATAGTAGGAAAGCGCAGAAAATTGTTTTAGAATTAAAGAGATTATCCCTTGGTAACATAAGATACTCCCTAGTGGAATGGCAAAAGGGGAAATTTGAGCAAGAGAACAATCTCATCATGTAATTAACTCCCTACACTTAATTTGTAGGTGACCAAACTTACTGTATCTCCTCCCCAACAAAAGAGGGAACAGAAAACCAATCAATGTTAGTACAATGATCCAGCTCAGTCACTTTTGACTTTGGACACATATCTTTCTAGGCCTCAATCTCTTCACCAATACAAAATGATGATAATATATACAGGATTTGATATAATTAGACATAATGAATATATTGACTCATATATCACAGACACACTCACACACACACATATATACCTAGCACAGGGGCTTTTGAGTTCAATGCACTACTTGAGTCTTTCTTTATTTCATCCTTTTTCTTTCTTTCTTCCTTTTTCATTTCTCCCATGCCATTTTCTTAATGTTGTTATGTAACTTCTATAAACAAACAGTGTTGGGTATTCTATGTAATAAAAAATACACATACAATAAAATATATTTATATATGATATATATTTATATGTTTAATATATTTATATTTTATATATATAAATACATATAATTTATAAATAAATATATAATATCTATTTATATCTTATATAACATATAATATGTAATATACAATATGATATATAATATACAATATAATATATAATATAATATAAAATGTATATTATATTATATATAATACAATATATAAGATATAATATATAAGATAACATATTATATCATCTTATAAGATATAATATATAAGATGATATATAATATATGATATATAATATGATATATAATATGATATATAATATATAAAATTTATTTAATAATATATAAAATAATACATATACATAAAATATATAACATAATATATAAATGAAATACATATATTTAGATATAATATATCTATTATATATAGATATAATATCTATTAATCAAATAATCTATGATATATAATATGATATATATTATATATCTATATATTATATAATATGATATAAAATATATTATATAATATATTATATATATTATATAATATGATATAAATATATAACATATAATATATCTATATACATTATATAATATGATATATGATATATGATATATTATATCTAATATATTATATAATATATATTATAAATATGTATTGTATATTATATCTTTATATGTTATATAAGGTATAATATATACTATATTTATATATAGAATATATTCATATATATACACACATAAAAATGTCTACACGTCTGCCTTCCCTGCAAGGTAGTTAGCTATGCTACACCTTTATATACGGCAGTGATGTAAACCAAATTGTGACTGAATCAGATGCTAATTTGGTGGAATAGAAATGATACAGTTTCTTATGATGTGGACATTGGAAGCAGGCTCTCTAACTGTGGCATCACCACAGTTCTTGTTTCTCCTCTATCCCACAAGGGTTCCTACACCCAATATGGAGGTTACCTTATGAGGCTCATAACAATTGAAGCATATACTTATTCTGAAAAACTAATAAAATATTAAACATATTTAGCTGTAAAAGCAGTAGTTAGAAATGTAAAGATATATATTCATTCATATATTACACACACTCACATATATACATATATAAAACATATATATGTATGCATTGATGATTCATTTATCATTCAAAGCATCCTGTGATGTATTGATGCTAATACAATATGTGTAAATTCAGATATATGTTTTTGATATTACATTTGGTAAATTAATCAAATTTATGTTTTTTTCCAACACATCAATGAGCAATATGTATGCCGTTTTAAAAGAAGATCCTTTTATATTACTGTGGTTACGTATGTACTAGAAAATTCTACAGTTAATGTATCCACAGATCCCTATATGTATTTGTCTTAAATTCTACCTCCTTATAAATTTTTTTCTACCAGTTTAAAGATTTGTAGGGAGAAGTCAAGAATAAGCATATACAAAAACTCCTGTATGCCAATTTTGGCCAGTATGAACAATAACATAGTACCTTTTCGTCTTCTGTCAAAGACTTGCAGAATCTTGCATCTCTTATGGTAATCACAGTGATTTTGCAGATCCAAGACTTTAGTGCATTATGACATGTTCATTAATCAGTATCTTCGGGTTGAGTCAAGCTAACCAAATCCACAAGAGATTATTAAATAAACTAGAATTCCATAATATTGTCAAATTTGTCAAATTCTGCCATATATTTCAAAAGCAACATAATACTTTACTAATTGACCAGCATACTTTCCTCTGATAAAACTATTAACTAATACTAATTAGTTAATACACAATGAAATAATTGCTTACTGAGCATCATTTTGGAGCAGAGAGTTAGTTAAATAATCTTGATGGCTAAATTCCAAAAGCCAGATAGGTCCATCTCTACCATTATTTTTCTGGGGCTACTGTAAAAAATTACCACATACTAAGTGGCTTAAAGCAACAGAAACGTATTCTCTGACTTCTCTGGAGGACAGAAGTATGAAATCAAGGTGTTAGCAGTGCCAAGCTACTACTAGAGGCTCTAAAATTATCCCTTGCCTCTTCCAGCTTTTGATGTTTGTCAGTGTTGCTTGTCTCCATGGCTTGTGGCCACATCACTCCCATCTCTGCCTCTCTCTTTACATTCTTTCTTTTCTCTTTCTGTACTCTCCTCTTCGATCTCTTATAAGGATACTCAATCTTGGGTTTAGGGCCCACTTAGGTAATTCATAATTATCTCATTTTGAGATTCATAGCTTAATTACATCTGCAAAGACCTTTTTTTCAAACAAAGTCACATTCACAGGTGCCAGGGATTTAGACATTAATGTTCTTTTTTGAGGTTGTCTTTCAATCAACTATCAACACCATCTGCTTGAGAATGGAAATGCCAATGGTCATATGTCAATCTACTCTGCACTGAGGAGTAAGGAGGATGGACCACAGACAGTATTTTCTCAAGTTCCTTTTTTCTCAGTGTTATACAGAAACTTCCTTTTTCATTAAATAATCTGATGAATTTTAGAGACTGAAAGAAGTATGATTACAACACAATATTAAAAAATGTATAAATTTGTAGAGATAAACAGAGACTAGATAATGCTGCATCTTGGAAGCCATAGGATAAAAGCGTAAATTTTATTCAAAATGAAATGGGACACTTACAAGGGAAAGATATCTACATTTTTACCCATATTTAATTATGACCTCTCCATATATGTGTCCAGTGTGTTTATACATGTCAGTGAGTGTCAAGATTCCAGCACATTTGATTTATATCCTTCATGGATGCAATTCTGGAACTTTACTACGCTAGTTGAGAAGACCTTCCTTGGGGGCCAACACAATGTGGATAGTAGATAAAGTTACAATTTTATTTTCTATGCTTGATAGTTCGGTGTTTCCATTCATCTTTCTAACTGGTTTCAATTGCTAGCTGGTTTTGAGTGCTAACTGGTTGTGTTGAACTGATGAATCAAGGGTCCTTGTGGCAGAGACGGGGGTAGCATTTCTTTGTCAGCATTTCTAATCTTGCTTTGTTTTCCACTTAACTTCTGAACCGTACACATTCTACATTCTGTGTTATGGACTCTAGGATGTACTAAAACACCTTTGCTCTCTCTTTCTCCAACTCCCACTCTATTATATGCACATTTATTGTTGTCTTTAGTGTTAAACCATCATTCTCTCTCCTCTTTCGTTAGCCTTCTCCCAGACCATTACCAGGTCACTACACAATCCATTCTCCTTCCTTCCAACAGCTTTAGAATCCCATGTCATCCTTCAACTAGTCAATGATTAATTAAAACACAGATAAATATCTCACATTTATACCAAGTATTTATTTCTCTGCATGTCTAAATAGTCACATTCTTGAACTTCCCTTTCACTCACCACTTTGCAAAATATACTGATTTCAGTGTTCGTAGAAAATGTTAAGAGTTTATTTTATGTTACTGCTCAATGTTTGCACAGTTGTCTGAATGGGGCCCTCCGTCTGTCCACACAAAGGAACAGACATTCCACATTATGTCAGTAGGTTATTTCCAATGACATATGGATTCAGATGGAATGTGAAAATAAGGCTGTAGAAAGTTTGATCCATATGTGCAAAAAGAAAGAATATTTATGTTAATAGCCATCTTATTGAATTCTGACTATTAGCAGCATATGTTGGTCCTTCTATGGTAAGGTGTCAAAAATTTTGTAGAAAAGAGAAGATACAGCCTATGACATTTTGCAAATTTACAAAACAAAATGAGTTTACATCACCAGAAATAGAAACCATACAGAGAAAATTGAAGAGATCTGGGCCTTTGTCAGGGCCAGTATGCATGGATTATCTACTGCCAAAGAGTTCTGAAGAGTTTTGAGCTACCACAGTGTATTGCAAGTGTGGTGCTGGTGATGTTTGGAGGTTGTTAAAACTTGGCTCCAACATTCCTATTTTTTATCTGTTAAATGGAGATGCTGATGTCTTCCCTTCCCAGGACTACTATGAATATTAAATAAATTTGTATATGCAAAATTTCTGGCATACTGAATAGTTGCTTATATATTAATTCCTTGCCATCTCCCCCTCAACCTGAATGTAGCAAATAGCCTTGGTGCCAATATTACATATTTAGCATCACAAGATTTGTGTTTTGATGACTATTTCAATGTGTCTAAGGAAGCCATAGTTTGTTAGACAAACATATAACAATCCGGGTTGGTAGCTACGCATAAGGCAATTTTAGTAAGTGTTTTTAAATAAAATAGTTAATTCTATAAATAGAACAGCATGCTCAATGAATACATTCAAATTTAACCATAAGATATATTTAGAAACAACTTTTGCAATTTTTAAAAAATTAATTTTAGGGATAGTGCCATTTAAGCAATCCCGATTTTCTTTTTCTTAATGTCTTTTGAAAAATGAAACGAATAGGCCGGGTGTGGTGGCTCACACCTCTAATCCTAGCGCTTTGAGAGGCCGAGGAGGGCAGATCACCTGAGGTCAGGAGTTCAAGACTATCCCGGCCAACATAGAGAAACCCTGTCTCTACAAAAAATACAAAATTAGCCGGGCGTGGTGGCACATGCCTGTAATCAGGGAGGCTGAGGCAGCAGAATCGCTTGAACCCAGGAGGCAGAGGTTGTGGTTAACGAAGATCGCGCCATTGCACTCCAGCCTGGGCAACAAGAGCGAAACTCCTTCTCAAAAAAAAAAAAAAAAGAAAAAAAAAAGAAAGAAAGAAAAAAAGAAACTCAAACACATATCAGAAAAATATAATTATTAGTGTAATATTTCTATAAGCAATGCCAGAGGTTGTTACTATGAAACTTCTAGAAAATATGTGATTAAATATGTGTAATTTGAGATATATGATGATATTTTTATGCATTTATTTTGCATAATTGTTTGCTGTTTCGCATAATACACTGAAATTATAAGGTCATGATACCTAATCAATGTAATTATAAATAAAAGCCAGTGAAAGCCAAATATGCTTTCATCTGATTGATCTCTCAGTGAAGTTTTATGCTATTGATTACAACCCCACCTCCACTTAGTGAAACGTCTTATCTATAGCCTTTCATGCCTCTTCATATTCGTGCTTTTCTCTTTCCTTGCTGAAGAATCCTTCAAGCCTTTTTTATTTTAAGGCTCCTGTTTCTTCACTGTATCTTTAAATATTATAGTGCTGCTGGTCTCTGTTCTTAATTCTTTTATTTTTATACACTCTGTATAGAAAATTTTGTCCAGTTCTATGATTTCAAAGACCATCCCCAAGTGGATGAATTTTCAATTTAAATCTCTAACACTTATCTGTTTCTTATACTCCAGGTACATACCCAAGTATCCTCTTGATACCTCCACTTAGGGTCTAAAGTTATGTCAAATTTAATACTTCTGAAATATGTTACAAACATTCTTCCCATCGAATCCACATTCTACCAAGTTTCTCTGTCAAAATAAATGACACAATCTGTTGCTCAGACCAAAAATATATGATTCATTCCGTATTCATATTTATTTCTACCTGTGCTGTATCTAGTTGGTCCTACCTCCAAAAATATCTTAAATCTTATCATGTTCTAAATGATAGGCATATTTCTCCTTACAATAATCTTCTAAGTGTTTCTCTTATCCCCACTTTTGCACCTGGCATTTTCTACTACCAGAGTTCATTATCCACACAGAAGCAGGAACAATATTTCTAAAGGCAAATTTAATCATGTAACTCCCCTATTTTCAATGACTTTCTATTCTGCATAGACTAAAATTCAAAATTCTTACCTTAGACATAGAGCTTTACCTGCCCTACATACCTCTATCTTCTAGACATATTGGTTATCTTTTTATTGCATAGTTTTTACCTATATATCTCATGGCTTTTTCTCTTTATTCCTTTTTTTTTTTTAAGGCTTGTTCATAGCAAGGAATATAATAGCCATCCAAATTAACTACTATTATCATCTAGCATCTTTGCATTTTGCTTCAATATTTCTTGAGAAACAATCACTTTATTAACTAGCAAAACACAATACACACTTTTTGTAAAGACATTAAATAATGCAAAATAATAAATGTAAAAATAATGCACTTAATTCCAGAAATTACTATTGTTAGATTGTGTTAACATTTTTTAGACATATCTCTATATTTATATACAGGTAGAAGGACAAATAGTTAGAAAAAATAGACAAGTGGAACAAACATTGTATATAAATACCTTCAAATGAGTTTATTATAAATACAATTTTAATAACAATAATTATTTTGATTTCACTATAAAAGACAATAGAAATTGAAGGAAGTTTTGAAGTCTAAATGAATGGTTTGATAACAGACAGATCTGATGCTCCTGAGGCTGGTCTGTTCCCTCCTTGTGGTATCTTACTTAAAAGCAGAATCATCAAACTTGTCTGTGTTTGCTTGGCAGAGATAAGACTCAGCTAACTGACACAAAACCGCCTTTATGACAAGGGTGCTTCCATTTTTCCTAATTGCATAGATGTTCCCTTCACCTTCGACCTTATAAATATGTAAAGCATTACAGACACTGGTTCCCTCTACTGGAATATTTCCCTTTCTAAACTTTGAGACAATGAGTTTTGAGGGGAGCACATGTTCGTAACTAATTCTCTCCAGTGAGTTTGTAGTGGTTCTTAATTCCCTCTTACATCCTGCTTTATATTTCACTGCACGGTCCCGCCATTGAGTGTCATGACCCTTTAATGGTTTCTTTTAAGGTTTTCTAACAAGTACTCTTAAGTTTTTCATGGCTGATAATATCTTCCTGTTGCTGGTTCTTTAACATTCTCCTAGCAGAATGCAATATTCCTGGAAATTAAACATTTTCTCTATAAATCTCTGTAGACCTTATTCTGATTTCTTCTAACTTTAAATATTGCAAAGAAGATATCTAAAGCTAGCCTGAATTTCTCACCATTCTAGTTCTTATTTCTTTCTCCTATTTTTTGACTAAGATGCACACGTGTATTTTGTTGTTGAAGCTCAATAACTTAACTAGCATAAACTTGGTATTGGTGAAGAATCTGCACCAACATTTTCTGATACATAATATGCTCTCTTGATATGATCATTAGAACATTCCATCCATTCAAATAAATTATATTATATACCCATCTTCAACTTCAGTTTTGTTCAGGTCTCTATTTCATGACACCAATTGTTCCTATACTAGATCATTGTGTATATTTTCAATTCCTAACAGGTTACATTCACATTCTTTAATTTACATATAACTTTAATCTGTGTTTACTACATTTAAGAGTTAACTTTTAGTATTTTAGGTTTTAGACTCATTTATTGTTACCCAACATTTCTAATTTATATACAAGTATTATAATCATACTCTGCCTTCAATTCCTTTGTTTTGTTCTCAGATTTCCCTTTTGATTTAATATTGATGCTTATTATATAGTTTGAGTTCTTGTTTTTTTCAAATTCATATTCTTATGAACTAGTTGTACAGCATGAAATGATTAAGAGGATTTATCATCTGTTCCTTGAGGTATGTTTCTTCTAAAATGATTCTTTTTGTCTTTTTCTTTCCTTCTTTTTTATATACGCTCCTCCTCTCTTCCTTTTTTCCTTCTTTCCTTTCTTCCTCCTTCCTTCTTTTCTTTCCTCCTTCCTTCTCTCCTTCCTGCTTTCCTTCATTCTTTACAACATATCAGGCCTCAATCTGCACTACTGAAAAGAAAAACAAACTGACCTCCAGCCAGTACAAATAAAGTCATAATCTGTCAATCAAAATATATCAGAATTTTTTTAAATCGTAGAATGAGAGTCTGTTATTTTTGTGTTGCAGCCACTATTGTATGACCAGAAAAAAAAAAATGGAGAAATGAACAGGAAAAAAATCAGTTGAAACAATAGTCTTATAAAAGTTTTAATTTTTTTTTCTATCTTCCTGGAAAGTACTACATATTTTTCCTGGGAAGATTGGTAAAATGATGGATTATTTCTCTAATTCAGGGTTTAACTATTTGGCTTTCATTTATTTCGTTGACAAGGGGCATTAGTGAAAATTGACAGAGTTTTAACTCTTATATTCGACTTCCGTGGAATCTCTTTTTAATGGATCTGTATGCATTGCTAGCTTCCTGGTCATCATCTTTAAGTGTATTTCAGGAGGTTGTGTCCCTTTTCTCAATTGGTTGCTGATGGTGCTTTCTTGTCCCCATTTCTTGTTCCCTGTAGACAACAGGGAAGAAAATAAACCAAATGATTTTCTGTCTTCCAACTCAACGTAGTAGCCTGTCTGAGTAATATTGATATACTCAATATGAGCACGTGTCCGTGTCCTTTGCCACTGTGTAGATTGGCTATTTTCATATGCTAAGAAAGATTACTCATTTACCTATTCCCCAGCCCTGACCTCTTACCTCATCAAATCAGTGCCAGCATGATTTGAGCAAAAAGTACTAAATTTTTCTTTAAAAGTGCTCTAAAACTACTTATTCTTACTTTGTATCTTCTTACTGTTTCTAGCATAGAGCCATGGGCACAAAAAGAAAGTCTGAACTGGAGAAAAGTCCAGCAGGTGTTTAATTTTAAAAAATCCTATTGAATAAAAGCCTCCACCACTGGTTGGTATTGCTAAATTCTTACCCCTGGACCTGTGTGGAGATTTCATGGACAGGAAAAGTAAGGAGAACATAATTTATAATGTAAGATTTGCCATTGTCCACAGTTTGGTTTGTGCAAAAGATTTTATTGACAGGGATTACTTATTGTTATCAAGAGACTTGACCTCCCTTGCCATTTGTCCTGATTCCATTTTTCTCTAGGGAAAATAAAATGTATGAACGGATAATACAGATGTATGAATTGCATAATGAATGCAAAGTCAAATATGGGCATGTTAATGGCTTCAAATGCCACACACATTTATTGACATTCAGTGACTACTTTAACAGATAAGCAGATTGCCTATGTTCATTGTCCTCTATCTATAGATTGTTAAATACTGGATATTTTCAATCCATTGAACAGGATACACAAATTTCTCATAAAAGCATTTTGTGACTGGGTGTAGTGGCGCATGCCTATAATCCCAGCACTTTGGGAGGCCCAGGCAGGTGGATCACCTGAGGTCAGGAGTTCGAGACCAGCCTGGCTGACACAGTGAAACCCTGTCTCTACTAAAAATACAGAAAATTGGCCAGGCATGCTGGTGCGGACCTGTAATCCCAGCTACTCGGAAGGCTGAGGCAGGACAATCACCTGAACCCAGGAGGCAGAGGTTGCAGTGAGCCAAAATCATGCCACTGCATTAAAGCCTGGGCGACAGAGCAAGACTACGTCTCAAAATAAAATAAATGAGCATCTTGTAACCTACTATGCTGAATTCCTTAAAATGTGGCTACTTGGGCAAACAGCTCTTGACTAGCTGCTGGAGTTTTTAGAGTGAAAAATCACAATGATTACTATTAGTATCTACAACTTCCAATTCACCTACTGGATACATCGACTAGTATTCAAAGACTGTGAAGGTCTATTTGATGATAATTGACAGATTTTCCTGCTCGTAATTATAATAAGATCATGAAAATATTGCATTGAACATGACCTCCAAGAAGAAAAGAGAACCTAAGATTTTCCTGGAAGTACTATATTAAGAAGGTTATTCTTCTTAAGTATTTACATCATATTTTATCAAGAAGACTTGCCCATCTTGATTATACTTTTTCCTGCTGTCTCTTTCTTCAAATTCTGGATCTTATCTTCTCTCATATCCTTCTTATTTACAAATTACTACATAAGTGCTTGACTTTTAAAATTAAGACCACTTAAGTTCAATGTGTATTTTTAGTCAGACTTTAGCGTCATTCCATGTCTACTTAGGTTTTCTCTCTCCTCATTTTCTCTGTTTATTAATATTTAAGGCCAATCAACAGCACAAATTAATGGGAAATTCCTCTGTTGGCATTATTCGGCCCTTTGTTTTAATTTGGTTAGTATTAAATTATTTTAGTAGCAAAGTTATCATTCAGTAGGGATTAAAGAGTTTAAGTGCTTCAAGTTTTATACTTCATCTAGATAAAAATTTATTGCTCTCTTTGGGAGGCTGAGGCCGGCAAATCACAAGGTCAGGAGTTGGAGATACCAGCCTGACAAACATGGTGAAACCCCATCTCTACTAAAAATACACAAATTAGCTGGGCATGGTGGCGAGCTCCTGTAGTCCCAGCTACTTGGGAGGCTGAGGCTGGAGAATCACTTGAACCTGGCAGGCGGAGGTTGCAGTAAGCCAAGATCATGCCACTGCACTCCAGCCCAGGTGACAGTGCAAGACTCCATCTCAAAAAAAAAAAAAAAAAATGGTTTTTGTTTAAAATTTTTTACATACTTGAAAGAAACGAATTCATCTGAAAAGCCAAAAAAATTCATCTAACTTTATTTATCACCTATCATTCTAGGGCAACACAATG